TCGAATCTGGAAGCAACGCAGCGCAGGTTTCAGGACAGTGCACGCCTACTGCAGATACGGTGTCGCCGACCCCACGGGCGCCTTGGATCGTTGTGTGAGTATTCATGGTTCATAGTCTTCTGCATTTCGCATTGACGAACTTTGCTCACTCTATAGGGTCAGTAATCTTGCATGATTCGAATGAATTTTGAATGATAGGGCGCGCGATCGGCTACCATTAGCTTTCCATGTACGAATTTATGTTCTTCTTTCAACGTCAATATCAGCCTTGCTCCATTCCTGGAGTTCAAATCAATGGTTTACTATTAGAAAGCAACTTAACAAATGCGAAGCGTACCTCAAAGTTCCTGGAAATCTGCCCTTGCTTGCAGACAACTGCCCTATTTGGCTAGAATAACTTGTCACTTTGAGTGTCTCGCGGTATCGCACAATAGGAGGAGCGATTGGCTATAGACTAATTATAACAGATTAAGAAAAGAAATTATCAGAAATTATTAATTCACCTTGGTGGTTGAGATAAATTCAAGCAACGCACGCCGCAATCAGTCTCCAGACACAGATTATGGTCGTTCGAACCTGATATACTTCGCGCCCGATTTAGAGCTAATCGTCCAATTTGAGCTGAACAAACTGCTGACAGTTTGTGAAAATAGTCCACTCCAGTAGACTCCAGTAGACGGCGAAAGAAGGCTTACAGTAAGCGCTTAAACTTCAAGCTACTGTAATAAGCGCGCGCCAATCATTGCTCTGATTTCGATTCCCGAGGACCCAATTCCCTGTTCTATATTCCTCGAACTGCTTTCCACCAAGGATCTGTAGCCCTAATTCGCTGAAAAAATACTAAATCCCTTCGGCAAAATCCCTCGATTTGATTCAGCTCCAATACAGAATTATCCAGCAGACGGTATCCGGGACGTTCGAATTTACGGGATCATGATTCACTGAATTCCCATGTTGCATGACCATGACATTGACTCAGGCTGCAATCCAGTTCCTTCGCATTGGGATATACATCTCTGCCCCGGCCAAACATAGTTATACGTTATGCGCTTTCCGCCTATGACCATGCGGCGGTCCCCATACTTCCGCTCCGTTGTCGGTTCTACCGCACTACATATAGGAGAAACTAGGAGAAAGAACTATGTACCGTGACTTGCTCTGATAAGTATCCTTCAAGTCCAAGAAAGGTAAGCCATTTACGTTTAATGAACACGCTTCGACCAGTGAAACCTTCCTAAGCTTAGCTTTCATGTGTAGGTTCTCGGTTGGTTACGCTACACACTTCGAATGCGATGATATCGAATTCCTTTCATCCGCCCGAATGAGGAGTCTAGAGCATTGCGGACAATGACCATGCTATATTTGTAGAGTATGCCATCTTATCGTATTTCTGTCATGCAACGCATTAACAATCCGGATAGGCATAGATAAGCATACATCTGTTCGAAATTTAGTTCGGCAGCAGAATATAAAGCCATGAGGGGCATGTATACCTTCTTCTTGACGCCCCAAAATGCTCGTCTCTTCGAGGCTGGCTGTTCTGCTTTCCGCATCGCTTTTCATAGCCGGCATTAACGCGAAGGTGCCTCGCGTGGCACATCCAGGTTCCAAACATGCGAAAAACCTTGCTTCCAAAAGGCCATCGACTACCGCTGCTCAAGTTTCTGGAAGCTTCACTGGAACTGGGTGGTCCTCCACTGCACCGCAAGTCTCGGCGCCTTATGAGAACATTTGGCAGGAGCTGACTGACGATGAGGCTGCGGATGTTATTTCGTTCTTGCACAACCAGACGGAGCTGAACTTGACTGCAGCAGCGGATGCTGGCAGGTGAGTCTCAGAAACATCTTGTTCTTCTAGTTAAATGACTCAACGCGTTTCTTTCCAGCTGGGACAACAGCATCATGCGGGTGGAGGTCTTGACGCCGAATAAGACAGATGTTCTTCCCTTCACTGACGGTGACCAGGGTAAACCGGAAAGATGGGCCAGAGCAGCGATTTGGGTTGGAGCGACCATTGAGCCGTACGTTATCGAGTATCAGGTGAGCACTTCACGCGCCTCTACGATGTCATGTTTCTGACGTATCGCATGTCAGGTCGGCCCTCTTCCCATCTCTGATGCATCGATTGTTACCTCGCTCGGTTGGCTTTCGACCAAGGGGACGACCTACCAACGCAACTATGATGCTGACGATGACCTTGCTACTATCTTTATGGTATGGTTCATCTTTCCATTCCAAGCAAGTAATTAACAATTATCCTCTTTCCCTCAAGTACAACGTCAGTGCTTCAATCCAGGATATAATAACCGACCTCCTTAATGGTGTAGGGCGTTTTCCGGAATACTAAATCTTATATTCTAATTATCATTCGATAGACTGCATCTGATCCCGACGACGCTGATCTCGATATCTGGGGTATCGACCCTCTGTGGCATCCAACACCGAATACTACTGTACAATGGGTCACGTACTGGCGAATCCCTTCTTCCATCTTTGACGGCGAAACTCTGATGCCTCAAGGTCTTTACTTTGAGATCAACACTACCGGCCGTGATCCTTCGCAGTGGGCTGTCATTGGCTGGCTATATAGAGATGTTTACTACAACTCGACGGAAGCTTTCCGTGCTGCTTGGGAAGCGGGAGAATTGGAGAAGAGCAAGCTCAACTTCGAGGGTCCCTGGATTGGAAGCGATTACCGAGGTCCCACTACGAAAGTTGGTGCGAACAGGTGAGTGAGCCGCGAATTGGAGAGAAAAGTCACCTGAAGACTCGAATAAATGCAGCACAATGTGGGCCAGTGAAAAGGCGCCTCCTGTCATGGTCCCTCCTGAAGATGGCATAAGATACAAGGTCGATATTGACAATAGATATGTTGAATGGAGTGAGTCCCTTGTCTTCAGGCTTTTTCAAGCTGTCCCATTCTCATTTGCTCCGCAGTGGACTTTTCATTCTACATTGCTTTCCGTCGTGACACTGGCATGAGGCTCTTTGATATTAAATACCGTGGAGAGCGTATCGTTTATGAACTCGGACTAGGTATGTGGCTGATGGAATCAACTATTTACTGATCATTGACGCGACCTATCCTTCAGAGGAAGCTCTCGCTCACTACGCGGGTAATGACCCCGTGCAAAGTGGAACCGCTTACCTAGATACTGTGCGCCTCTCGTTTTTCATCACCGTTACGCTGCGTCTTACGTTCTTTGCCTTTAGTTCTACGGCTTCGGCCCGTACGCCTTCGAGCTTCTCGCTGGCTACGATTGTCCGACCTATGCAACTTTCCTGAACTCTACCTTCCATGTGGATGAAATCAGCACGACGCATCCTAATTCGTAGGTCTCCTCTTTCTCGACATTTACAACTGCTGACCAGTTCGGTTTGCGTAGTATTTGTCTTTTTGAAAATGACCAAGGCTACCTCATCCAACGCCATACTGATGACGCTTATGGTGAGTGGTACAATTGTGCAGATAAGAGAAATCTTACACCACTACTAGTTGCCTCAACAAAGAATATTGCATTTACCGTCCGTTCTGCGAGTACGGTTGGTAACTATGATGTGTGTTCTCCCGTTGGGTCCATATCTGTTATTGATCGCTCATACACACAACTAGTACAACTTCGACTACACTTTCTACCTTGATGGTACCATTGAGATTACGGTCCGTGCAAGTGGCTACATTCAATCTGCTCATTACTACGGCAATGAAGGCTATGGTGAGCGCGAGTATTTGTCTCCTTTGTGTCTCGTGCTCATGATTGCATCCTATAGGATATCACATTCATAGTGGCCTCTCCGGCTCTATGCACGACCATGTCCTCAACTTCAAGGCTGATATTGATATTCTTGGAACTGCAAACTCCTTCGCGAACCATACCATTGCGCCAATCACCACCACCTATCCTTGGTCTCATGGAATGGAACGTAGCACCATGAAACTCTTCCGCAGCTACATTGACAACGAAGACGACGCCAAACTTTTCTGGCCTGGGAATGCCCACTCCATGTTCATGGTGGTGAATAAGGACGCGGTGAATGAGTTTGGAGAGGCCCGCGGGTACAGAATTATGCCCTCCAAAGGCCCCGGGATGCACGCCACTATTCAAAATTCCACTAATCTCCTAAATAGGTGCGACTTTACCTTCTGCTCCATGCTGAGTATCCACGAGCTGATATATATCCATAGCATGAACTTTGCCACTCACGCTCTATACGTGACCAGACAGAAGGATACTGAGCCACGCGCCTCCAACGCAAATAACGACTACGACGTGGCGAACCCTGTTGTAGACTTTTCCGCGTTCTTTGACGGAGAATCGTTGGACCAGGAGGATCTCGTCGTGTGGTTTAACCTGGGTGCGTGCTTTAATCAAATCAATCACACACAAACTTCAACCGCGATCGCATTTATTTATTAGGGATGCATCATGTCCCTCATACAGGAGACTTACCCAATACAGTGTTTACTACGGCGCAGGGCTCCATGCAGATCCTGCCCCACAACTACCTGTTACATGACCCATCCAGAGACTCACGCCAGACGGTTCGGATTGATTACAATGATAGCGGTGTGCAAGCGGTCCATACATTCGGCGCAGACTTTTCAAAGGGTTTGATGAACTTGGTATGTTTTCGTGTCATGGCACTGCTTAAGGATATCGAGTGCTAAAATCCTTTATAGACCTCTGTTGTTCCCGACTTCTACGTCTATCGCGGTGACATAGATGTTAGAAAATTCCCTTATGACCGTAAGTTTTTCTCACCTTTTCCTTTCTTCATTGCTGTAACTGACTTCATTTCTTTTCGGGTATAGCTCAACACCCGTTCAATAGCACTATTTCCATTGTTTAATTACATAAAAGTACATAGCTATCGAACGATGCTTGAAAAGCTAAGCACTGTCTACAGTGAATCACCGCTCATAAATACATGACTACATAATGGTTTTACCGGACATCGATGCGGTAAAAATAAATAGATGTCGAAGAGATGAATAATCCAAGGTCTAACCAGGACTCGAACCTGGGTTACGGGAAGTCGTTAATGTTACCTAAGTGTGATCAAAATCCCGTGTGATAACCTCTACACTATTAGACCATGGGTACGGTCATTGGTCTGATGAATATAGCAATAAAACGGGAAAAGTTCGAAGTACTTCAAGCGCTTCTCTTACTTATAATTAGTCATTTAGGCATTTAGGCGCTTCACCACCATACCATTTGCATTTTCCTATGCCTATATCTTGATACACCTATGCAAATATCTCCAAACCGTACTTTCAAGAACTTTCCCATTCAGCCAGCTCAACATGTATTTCCACTCATCACTTCCCACCCCAAACCCTTCTTTGCACCACTAAAGAATCTCTTCCAGAGTGAAATCGGGTGTTATCCGCATATGTATCGACATCCGGTCTCCTTCCTAGCGATCTCGTAGCTCTTGTCCACTAAAATAAGCCCTTTCCAAACGCCTTCCGCTCACGAACGCGAACCTCTCCTAGGCGCGTCCAATCCTCCATTCTGTCCTCGATAGAGGCTTCCCTCGTGCCTTTAAAGTATTTCTGACTTCTTCTAAGCGGAAGCTTCTGAAACACCATAGAAGATGAATTGACCTAGATGAAGAAAAGTTCGCGACATGGTATGTGAAGCGAATGCAAATTAGATCCCCTACATTCCTGGAGGTATAAGACGAGGAGTAGAAGGTACGCGGATAGACAGCTATATTGAATGAGTCTGAAATGACTCGGTTCGTGGTTCGTATATCACAGGAAGGGTAAAGTGTGGTTTGACACCATCGTCTTGGATGTCGGTTGAGGCTGCGTCGATCTTGATGTAGAGAGCTTCAATATCGGGATATTCGACCCATTCGGTCCTGTATGGAGACCTTTGTAATTCAGACGATACCTATAGTAGTAAGGGCTCAGTTAAATAGTGTGAATCGAACTTCGAAGAAGATCTCTGCAAACCTTGTCTTCCGAGTGTGCGGCGACCAGCATAAGTAGTCCAGGCTCTGCGATCGGAAAGGGATATCATAGAAGATTATCACCATTTTGTCATCCTCCGACATGGCGGTAGAGAACAAGAAATGTCACGGTTTATCGCAAGCTAATCGGAATGGTTTACAATTATCCCAAGGTCACGATAGATTCAGATATATAATCTTGGGTGAACATCTACTATCTAGGGTTCAGCTTTGCCCATCAGACGCCCGTTGTTTCTAGCAGCTCTTCGACCTCTGCTTGATCTCTGAGAAACTTGAAGAGATAGATGGACTTGGATAGGGTACGATGCAAAATTCAGATATTATTCTCAGATTTAGAGAGAGAGAGAGAGAGAGAGAGAATATGGAAATTCAATAAACTCTTCTAAGAGGATACGGTATGAACTGGCAGTACATTGACTCTGGAGGGACGAGCACTTACAGACATACTATATTTCCAAAGTATTGAGTGAGATAAGTATTACAGGCTGAACCCAGGCGGTGAGCTAACTTTGAGCGCATATGTAAGTAATTATGGTATACTAGGGTAGTATTAAGGATTCTTCTGGTTGCTGAACATCTGTGCTGGCGTCACGCAGTCGAACAATGGTCATCGAACTATAAATTTGCCCGTTTCAACTTGGGAACGGTTGGCTGTCGAGATTCCCAAAGTTCCCGTGCAAGTTTTCGAAGTTGTCCCTTCATTATTTTGCCTGAGGGAGTAAGTTCGAAAGGCTTTTCCGTGACTACGATCATAACAGGAACTGCGAATAGAGGAAGTCTATAAATTGAGACCTTGTCAGCCGGGGTGAGCACAACATGTAAGTATTTTGGCTTAACCTTTTTCGAACTTCCTCAATTAAGGAAGATTCTGTCACCTTTCCTATATACGATGGTTTCACAGAAACAACAGCTGCAACTAGCTCCCCCAGGCGTTTATCTGGTACCCCTACTGCCGCTGCTTCTAGTATTCTAGGATCAGCGTATAGGGCATTTTCCACAGATATCGAGGCCTAGAGTAGGGAATCAGATGTGAGTTGACGTAGTAGGTAAGACTACTTGCGATATTTTCACCTCCGCGGATGATTATATCCTTGATCCTGTCCTTGATGTACAGGAAACCCTCCTCGTCTATAACACCTACATCGCCAGTCCGCAACCAACCGTCCTGTGTCAGAACTTGGCTTGTTGCCTCTGATAAGGAGCGATTAGCTAACATCAGCCACCAGATTGTGTAGCAAACCTGGATCTCGGTAGTATCCTTGCAGATAATATAGATTGATCAGCGATCTGCAAATCAGAGAACATCATAGAATTACCGCTCATAACGTTAGGTCCTCGTAAATATACTTCACCAATTTCACCGGGAGAGGCGACTCTGTTATCAATTACAATCATCATGTCGTTTACTGGACAGGGTAGACCGCAAGATCCTAAACATATTTATGAGCATCCAGAAAAGTTTTGTGCCAAATTGTAATACCAGGTCTAATCAAGTAGTCTTCACCGGCAATCTGAAAAAAGTCGTATTTAAATGAAGTGTCATAAACACAACTGTCAGTGCTTACAGCTACGGCCACCGAATTGGTCTCAGTTAGACCATAAGCCTGGGACCTTGTAAGACATGTCGGAATGTAGGATCAGTCAAGGCGTCTAGACTACTTACAATCTTGCAGTAGGGAAAGCAGCTTGAGCTTGAGATGCGAGAAGCTCAGAAGCCGCAGAGCCCCCAAAGAACAGTCCTTCTAGGGGATGCCCTACTAAGGGACTATCCAAAAGATCAGACACCCTGTAAGTAAACCGAAGTTTTGTTTGTGTTACCAGTGGTCCGGGGGAAGAGGAGAGTGAAGCGTACATAGCAGGAACACCTCCAGCGAGTCCGACATTTTCGCTCTGAATCAATCTGAAGGCCGATACACCAAATCAGAAAATAGAAACACGCCCGAAGCAACAGTAAAACACACTTGACCGCTAACGCATGATAGGAGAATGATCAAAGTCATTTTCTGTGATTTATGAAACCATACATACCTTCTAGTGGGATCCATTTACGCATCAGGACAATCTTCATTCCGGCCATCGAAGTCAGCATGGCGTAGCTGGTGAGTCCGGTGACATGGAAAAGTGGTACGGCTATTAGTGTAGGGTTTGCATTGAGGAGAAAAAAGAAAGGCAGATAATTCCGGAAACGATCAACACAAGGTATCTAGAGTTGAAAGCTGACGTACCGATAAGTGCACCTTTTTGAGGTCCGTCAGGAGGTGGATCTAGATTTTCTCCTCTACGTAGCATAGCTCGACGAGGACCGACTTGAGTCTGCCACCAATACGATTTTAGATCGTGCTAAAGTAGTTTGAGAACCACATACATTAAGCACATTTGTCAAGAACTGACGCTGAGTACTCAATACGCCCTTCGGCAGGCCGGTGGTACCTGCCAGTGTACCGCGTTAGTCGGATATGCAACAGCGTGGCCAAGTTTACTGACCAGATGTGAACATGATAACGGCCTCATCTTCAGGCAAAACGATCTCCTCTGAAGGCGGGGCTCCAGAATCATTCTTGAGGGCCTCATCGAAGCTTTCCATCCTTCTCCACTGACCCTTTCCTTCATGCGAATTGAGTACCAGAATCCCGGTAATGTTGTACTCGGCAAAGAGTTTATCGACGACAGGCTCTAGCTTCTCTGCTCGTTCCGCATCAGCAATGACCAGTTTGCAGTCAGTGTGTGCGATGCAAAACATGAGGGGTTCCAGTGGAAGCCAGGCGTTCATACAGACGGCCACAGCACCTAATTGTTCTTTGGATGAAATGAGTTTTGAGTTTGGATTAAATAACAAGATAGTACGCACGAGAAGCCCACCAGGCAACTAACCAATCGATGCAATTGCGAGAGCAAATGCCAATTTTGTGGCCCTTTCTAACATTGTACACATTGTAGAAAATACTCGCTGTTCGCTCTGCTCGCGCGCTCATTTCCCTATAAGTGAGCCGATGTCCTTCAAAAACGATGTATGTCTTGTCGGCGTGCTGCTCCACAGCCCAAGCCCAGAAATTCTAAACTCCATTCAGTATGAAATATAGGAGGATCTCGAGTCCAAGGCTGACTCACCCGCACACTTGGCCAGAGAGATTTATATGTTCGCTGGAGCCTTCCATCTATGAAGCGCGTTTCAACCTCGTGGAGTTGCCCAGGACCACAAAGCAATGCATCGGCTTGAAGTATTATTAGTTTCGCGGAAGATATGTGCGGAGTCGGAAACTCACTTTCAGATAAGGAACGCTTTGGTATCCAGTTCATCACAGTCAATGGATGGTGTAGGCTCGAAAGCGATTGTGCGCCCGTCGTATTTATACGTTTGATGTAAGCCCACTACTGTCATTCACGGATATTTTACTAACCTCTATCACGTTCGGGGCTAACAGCTTTGTTGGTGAGAATGGCAGATAGGTCATGTCCGAGGAACAAATCGCTCCCTCGGTGTCCTATGTAGCCGATACCAAATGTTCAACACTTCCAATTGGTCGTCAGCATTGAACAATAAGGCCAGGGTTATACATAGGAGTATCCTGGCCGACACAAATTCAAGATGTGTTTTACAGTGTTTAAAGTGTCCCAATCTACATACCAGAAGCAATGGTCCATCAAGTAGGAAATAATTCTTCACATGTCGTCGAGACAACTCGGGAGGATTATACCGGATCGAGCAGATCATCACCTTTGGCTAATGGGGCTAAGAGGGTTATTGAATTTATTAGAGGAGGGAAATAAAGGCGCATCGTAAACGCACTCTTGACGCATTCGATACCATGCATGCAGGCTCCCCGAAACAACTGACCTAACTGACCGATGAAGGGCAAGTGAGGTTGTCTCGTTCCTACAAGTTTCATGCAGGCTCGGAGCTGCTCAGAGTCAACGATGAGACCGGAGCAAGTTGCTTAATGCGGCAAATATAATTTTGTTGTGCGTGCATCCGCATCCCAAGTAAAAAGGTCCAAATCCTCTGACCATCTTGGTAGAAGTCTCGGGAAAGCGGGAAGGAAGATTCATTGGGTCGCATGGCACGTTCCAAGAACTTCCAAGGAGGCGAACAAGGAGAAGTCAATGAAGCGACGACG